AAACAAACTTACTCCACTTTTGTGGCCTGCTCCCCGCGCGACCATTCGCGGACTACCTCGGAGGTTGCCTGGGAATACAACTCGACTCAATGGCCAGCACAAATTCACTCACCCTTCTGACGCAACCCGCCTGGGCCCACGACAAACCATCACTGCGCTTCCCGTACAGTATCTATGCTCACCTGAGAACTGTACACATAACCACGGGCGGGCGTACACCCGATCATGTAGCCCTCCGCCAACACTGTGACGACATTAGGAAGAACTCAACAAAACGCTGGTCCAATAAGGAAATCGTGGCAATGGCCCGGCACCAATACTACTACCAAATGGTCATGAGTACAAAGCCGGGCACGACAGCTTCAACCGCTGCTTAGAGCCTACACCAATCTGGCTCTGTACTACGATTGAAACGAATACGTACATGTTCACATTGCTCGACTACCGCACTGACGGCTATATCTGCTGTGTCTACCCCGGTAGCCCCAAATTCACCACCAGCCACTTTACCTGCATCCAACAATTGATCCGACGCATCCTGGTAGGCCCGAAACTGCCGCACATTGGCCCTGACCTCCTCCAGCAAATACAGGAGCGCCACGACTTCCACGGTATCTGGACCCTCCACGAATACCTTGGATCCTTTTTCCAGCATATAGAACAACCGCCGTACCTTCTCTCTGACACATCAACCTGACACATCAACAGATGTTCCCCATACCCCGGCTAATCACGCTGTTGAAGTACTACTTCCACATTTCGGTACAAACCCAGTCATCGCGCTTGTTGGTTCCGCCTATGATCTTCCAGTACAGGCCAGCCAGCACATACCGAGTGCATTCGTGGTCTGATGCGGCATTGGCTTATACCCAACCTTGCTCTACTCGGTATTGTAAATTTCGATGGATATTTCTATGTTTTAAACTATGTTATATAAAACAAGATACAATTTAAGTCAGTTAAGATTTAGCAGTGGTAGCTTGTGTAAGAATAATCGGGACTGCCTCTTGTAGAGTATGGAGAGTAGCTGAACGGTACGAGACAATAGGATACAATAGACCTCTTCTCAAGTACGGTTATCTCAGCTAGGAAAAGTCCCTAGACTGCGAGAACCGAACTGAGTCTTTAGTTGTGTTTTCACTAGACTCATATTTACTTGAGTGTTCCTCGGGAGTCCCGGTATAGCTTACCGGTTCTACCGCTAATATTTCTGATGATTCTAATATCGGAAATATTCCAATCCTAATTCCAAAACTCAGTATTTGATTATTCTGGGTTTTGGGATTTGGATTGGCTTTTTGATAATCTGGTCCCTAGTAGATGCTACACTCTTGGTAAGAGCCTTAATATCCTCGATCACACAGGACGTACCAATTTTCACTAAAAGCACTAAGTGTTCATGACTACATGCCTAATTTGTAGATAGACAGAAGAACGTAAGTCAAGTTAATACATTAGCTAATATAAATAAAGTTCCATCTGAAGAAAAGATAAAGAAAAAGAAAAAGACTTATTGGATTTTGGAGATTGGCGGGAAGACCAAAACCTGTAAGTAGTAGTTCAGATTATAAAATTTGTTTATAATATCCTACATTTACTATCGTCTCAAATAGGTCCATGTAAATGAGTCATACCAAATACTCAGGCTATTGGAGCCATCATTTTTTTTTTAGAACACTTTGGAAATCTTGGAAAAAGAACTTGTATTAAATTATTCTCAATACAAATAAAAACCAATGTGATATCTCATTTGATCTTGATATTTTATACTGACCGGAGGCCGTATATCTACATAAATAGCTTTTAGAACTACGGACGTACGTGAAGGTACAATCTAGTTCGTAAAGTGAAAACCAAAGTAAACCGCTTTCGGTCATGGCTTATCGAGTAAGTATTTGCCCATATGTACGAGTTCAAGACTCATGTTGTACTCTTATGTCATTTAGTATTTGGTCCAGTAAGAGGAGACCGACTTATACATATTTTTAAGTTTATAATACGCTATCGATATTATGACAAAAGGGAAGAATAGGGCAGCGAATGTAGTTAAGGCTGCAAACGCGAAAGAATTTGCTGTAGGCGAAGCGAAGCAGAAAACGCCCCCGGCACCACCAGAAGCTGCTGAGGCAACTGAGGTCACGCCAACACAAGTAGCACCAACTCTATCAAACTGGGAACGTAAGAAGTCGGCTGATTCGGGTGTAGGCTCTTCAGTTGGGAGCGTGACATCTGAGCCGCTGAAGCCACCAGCAAAGAAGTCAAGGTCCAGAAAGGGAAGGTTGAGCTCGGAAAATTCAACTTCAGAGAAAGTACGACATGCACTGGAATCAGATGTATCATCTCCACCAGTAGACACGCGCACCTATCATACCTATCATATGTTATCCCGAGATATGAGAACTTTCTTGAAAAACTACCAACCAATGGTACATGAACTGAGACCCACTAAGCAGCGGAAGAAAAAGCAAGCCGCAGCGAAGGATCAAGGTCATGGTGAATCAGGAGAAAATTACTCGGAGGATGTGCCAATAGCACACAAACTGTTGGATCAGCCCCAAATCAACGTAACGGAGGAACAACTGCGTTTCGTGGATATTGGTCCGGATGATGTTGACCATACACTTCACCGTCAGGACGACGATTCGGACACCAGGCTGGATTCACAATTCTTGCGTTTACCCAAACACCACTCCGACCGGCTTGGCGACAGAACTTTGATCTGGGCCATCCATACCAGACTCAGATTGATATCCAGGAGGAGGGTCAACGAGAGCTGATCCGACAGCGGGCCAACCGGGCATAGGTGTTAATGGGTGTTAAGACCAAGCCGGATGGTACAATCTCACTTAGGTTTGTAATGAATGCAGCGGTAAGAAATTTTAGGCTCGATTTGTTTAGAGATTCTAATTACTACAATCGGCTAGTAGCAATGAAGACTGACGAGGATAAGCAGGCACGCAAACGTTTTCGTCAGTTTCAAAAGATACTACCGAAGGTATTCGGAATTAAGAGAGATGTAAGTTTTGCACACTTAATTTGGTACGCAATTTGCGATCTTCTTGGAGATATTCCCGATTTGATATCGAACCATTTGGCACTCTATCAAGCCATATTGGTATTTGAGATGTTGTCCAGACAATGGAGAGGCAAACACAATCCGATCTTCATCATCCGAAGCTCAATCTTCTCCTGGATTGGATGCAACAACAATGTCACGAATGGCATCCGAACAGGAGCCTGTACCAAATCCACCTACGGAAGGCAATCCACAGAATGCCCCAGAGGTAGTTCCGAAGGACAAACCGACCGAAGAGCCTAAACCTGATCAGGCGGAAGCAAAAACATATTTGTCATCATCGGGAGACAGTTCGCCCCCAGCGGCTATCCCAACGACGACACAAGATGCTGATCCATCACATGCGTTCATACACATAGAACAGGTCGATGGATCAAAGAATGAGGCAGACATGTGACTGCAAGGTATCAGATCACTCCAGTAGTGATTTGAAAATAGCTGAATTCTCTGTTTAAATGAACAAAGCTGAGGCTGCTTCTCTCGAGGCGATGGATCAAGGTAGGATTGATGCCGCTAGTCTTTACATGTCAATGGCTGCGCACTTCCAGACCAAGATTGATTCAGAACTAAGAGTGATTCAGACCGAGAAGGCTGTGGAAGGCAAGAAGTTTGTAAAGGACATAGGTAAACTACCAACGGCATACATATCTGATCGAAAGGACCGAAAGGATCCAATCGATACTAGCAGTCTGGCGTTGTTATCTAGGTATTTGAAGGAGTTTGACAGATTATGCTTACAGCAAATCTACGTAAGAATCTATGGTTCGAAGCAGCGCAGCAGAGCTTTAAGCCGTCCTCTTACAAGTACAACAAGTTGGAGAAGGCGAAACAAGCGATCACTAAGCTGAAGACGTGGAAAGAGCAGAGTGAGATGATCGTTATCTATTCTCGACGGACCCTCAACCGGAATTGCTTGTATCGATCATGATACCACCGGAAGAAGGAACGCCAGTGTCCCACTACCTACTGGAGTTGAACACACACATGTCAAGGGCCCAGACTCGGAAGATATCACCTGATATGCTAATCATGTGTGTACTATGGGTGCAGACAATCTTTTGGTCGAGCCTGCATAGGAAAGATCAAGAGATCCTGTATGCTGATATGCATCAATCTTACCCGGACAAGGTACGAGAGATCTCCATTGAGGGACCTACCTACGGTATTATGAAGCTTGCTGACTTAACCTGGGCTGAGTTTTACTCGAGAGCAGATCAGACGTTTACGAAACGTCCCAGTTCCGTGGTGAAAGTCACCAATGTCCAGAAGAAGGTCGGAGGCAATCTCGCCGGAGGATCAGGCATGGTCGAAACTCTCAGTCTACTAATGGAGGTCAGAAGGTGAACAAGGGAGGTGACAAAGGTGGCCATAAGAACAAAAATACCAATGGTTCCGATGGCAACAAGAACAATGTCATCCCTAAGGGTAACCAGACCGCCAGAAATGGACCACCTGCAGGCAATCCGAAGCCCAGGCATAGGGAGGTCAAGAACTGTAGTGAGACTGATTGCAATTGGCGAATGACCCAACATGAGCCGAATGGCAGATGGAATAGGAGGCACGCAGACAAGTGTAAGCACTTTGTCACGAAGTGTGCCGACTTGCAAGGGTTTTAGGGTTGCAAGGTGCAACCAAAGGTTGATGTTAAGTGACAAACATACCGAGTCTTGTCACTACGACAAAAGAACGCACCTCAAGACGAGCGTGTCATCCTTGATATACGAGTTAATGGACATTAAAAAAAAGCGTTGTTGGGTCCAGGCTCGCAAATTTCATGTATATCATCTAGATTCTGTAAGATGACAGACATAACTCGTAAGTCAGAACCAACTATGTTGAAACTGGCTGACGAAAGAGAGATCACTTGTAGAGAGATGGCGATCGATCTTAGGTTTACTTTGACAGACCAACGTACTACAGTTACTAAGGCAGTCATATGTAACACATCACCTGACTATGATCTCATAGTGAGCATGGGTGATTTATTGTCACTAGGTATAGTAAATACAGGCTTACCTATGAACATTGAACCACAGAAGGATCAGTCGGACGATAAACCTTCGAAGACTGTGAACGAGATGATCCCTCACTTCACAAAGAAACTCAAGGACTTACTTTTTGAAAATGACAAGACCAAGATTACTGACTGGGCTAAGTTCAAATTCAACAACGGATATGTTAGTCTAATCTGACCAGAGTGGATTTCTCGAAGTTGAAGCGTCCTACACGTAACTATGTTGCATGGCGTTATGAGCAGGTCGTACGTGAGCAGGTTAAACTTGGTTAGATGATGGAGTGATCGCCGTCAACTACGACCCGACTCCCGTCAACCTAGCGCTTTTAGTCGTCGACCAGTTCAACTCTGACGTGACGCTGAAGAAGGTTTGGGTGTGTTTGGACATAAGCGCCAATAACGCTCTGATACCGACACACAATTTTCACTTACCAAGGATAAACGAACTACTCAGGCGTATGGAGGGAGCTAATATATTTTCCACTATCGACCTGAAGCAGGGCTACCACCAGATGAAGATGTACAAGCCACATCGGAAGTATTTCACCTTTACCTGGGAGGGTCAGTAATATTTGTTCAAAGGCGCCCCCTTTGGGTTACACATTTTACCTGCCTTCTTCCAGCAGATAATGCAAGATTTGTTTAGGGACATGTACAATGTACAAGTATACATTGATGACATTGTGGTACTCACCAAAACCAAAGAGGAACACGACAGGGTTGTGCGAGAGGCCCTAGACAGACTCAACAAGCACAACTTTAATGTCAACAGTAAGAAATATCACTTCGGTGTCAACGAGATTCAACTGTTGGGTTACCGAGTATCCGGGGATGGAATCATGATCGATCCCGGGAAGGTCGGACACTAGCTAGACTGGAGAACTCCTACCACAGAAAAGGATGTCAACAGCATGTGCGGACTCGGCAACTTTTTGTCTGACGGGGTACCACACCTGGCGAGCTACTTGAAGCCCTTTGGACATTTGAGATGTCATAAAGGCAAACTAGGCGCACTGTGGACCAAAGACTGTGATGACGCATTTAAGCAGCCCAAAACAGTGATTCAGCAGGCACCAGTAGTCCAGCCACCAAAGTATGGTATTCCATTCATGGTAGCAACAGACGCGTCCGACATGGCACTCGGCGGCGTTCTGTATCAAATGATTGAAGGGAAACCAAGATATGTACAGTTCTTTAGCAGGGCTATGAACTCGTCTCAGATCAATTACCCAACCGTGCAACAAGAGCTTTTGGCTATTGTTACTGCACTCACTCATTTTAAGGACTATCTATATGGCACACACTTTAACGTGCTATGTGATCAGAAGTCATTGCAACACCTAAAGGACATGAAAAATAACTCACAGTTAGTCAGTCGGTGGCATGACACAATTGCGAAATTTTCTTTCGGCATAACACACATACCGGGTTTTCACAATCACTTACCCCACATGTTGTCTCGCTTCGTACCAGATTGTAACAATATGGTTAGGGAGTTACTTAGGTGGTTTAAGATCGCTGACAACACACATGGACCACATACCATAGATATGTTTGCCGCACATCATAATGAGCAACTGCCGAGGTACCGGACATTGGAACATCCGGAAGGAGTCGGATTCCAGATAGACTTGTCTAACGAGAATGCCTGGGCAAATCCTCCATGGCTATCAATACCACAGTTACTAAATTATATACATATTCAAGATGCTACCATCACGTAGTGTTGTCCCCTAAGACACTCAGATAAATGGCTACCACAGTTGATCTCAATGATACAATGTGGGCCGATCTATGAGGATAGAGAGGTAGATACTTTCTATGCCAGGGTACCCGTGCAGTCCAGAAGACGCCTTGGCGACATACTATAATATGTCGAATAGGTCCTGTTGGAACAACCAAGTGGACTCCATCCGAGACTTTCAAACAGAAGGTTGATGAGTCCAAGATTCCACTCTTGAATCCTAAGTCTCAAGCAGAGACTGGGACAACACAAGCACCTGCAGTATGTGTTACCGAGATACAGCCAAATTCAAAGGAATCAAAGAGGAGCGCAACACTAGCGAAAGCCTTTTACAAGAAGATACGGTCTGACAGGGAAACTGCATACCAAGCAGAGACTCGATTGTCTTTTGAGAGACTAAAGTAGTAGACGTATTTCTATATACGTTAATAACGTTTTACGTCGTCAGCCCAAGAGTAATTTTGGGTCAGCCCGAGAGAACGTAAGAGTAATTCGAGACTTCTTCTCAAAATATTCTATTTATAGAATACGGGCCACCGGCTAGCCGAGAGCCGAGGTCCGAGACTGAGTGTAGTATCAGAGAATATGATATATTTATTTCTGGAAAATATATCCGAGTGCTAGTGTTCTGCATAAGGTTTCTCATACTGATCATATAAGTTTTTACCCTGGCCAACCTAAGTGGTTGAACACTAGTACAAACACCATCAGTATATGACTTAGTATAATAAATTTACCCAATATGCGTACAACTCGGACCAAGAAAATAAAATAGTTGCACGCAATATTTTATTCATGACGTACACACATCACATACTGTCGTAATAATCTCTAATAATTTATGCTACATAGCCAACATATAGCGCATATATCACATACTGCCATACCAACACATGCTACATCATATGCTACATAACCAGCATATATCACATTCTGCAATATCAGCATATGCGCCATATAATATTTAATAACGTAATGTCAATCAGTTGCATGACTATAGTTAAATAGTGTATATAGAATAACTAGTGCAACAGGATCATTATTCATATTTGACTTGTGAATACAGTTTATATACTTGAAGTTTGTACGATGACTAGTAAGCAGGCTACACCAGCTACACCGAAAGTAAAGGGTAGAATTGCTGATGGTGACGCAACACCCGCGAGAATAACCCCCAAACGAGAAGCAAAGTATAATAATCCGTACTGTACAAAGTATGCCGCAGACGGTAAGGATAACAGCAACCGTAAACGAGTTGTCTGGGCAAAACAGCGACCGACCAAATAAAACTCTTGACCTTGGAGGTAAGGAACCCAAAGGTAAGGAGGAAAATGGGTTACCTAAAGGTAGGGAATAAAAGCAAAAGCCAAAGTGTTTGCTTAATATACCCTATGAAGAGAAGGTTCATGCGCACAAGCATGAGATAAAGACAGGTACCCTACTTTTACTACCCGATAGGAAGCTGTACCGTGTTCAGAATGTGAAGCAGGATGGCAATTGTCTTCCAAGATATACATAGTTTTGGAAGGTAAATATGGTTCTATTAATAGTATTAGACTAAATCTTATATTTGGTATTTTACTGGGGCCTTTTAATGACCTTGTCCAAATATCTAATATGTAAAATGGAAAAGGTGTTAATTAATAAAACCGTTAAAACCCATTTAAGGAAAACTGAGTTTACGTACTTTTAAGAGTACGTTTTGCGTACTATTAAGAGTACGTTTATATTACAAGATTCTAATGTGGAGGCCCGGCTTTTACATAGATAAGCGTTCCACTCTCGCCTCCCGCTAGATAAGCGTCCCACTCTCGCCTTCCGTTAGTTATGCGTCCCACTCTCGCCTCCCGCTGGCTCAAATAGCAATTTGCGCATCGCTGCGCACACGTGCATGCGTAGATGCAATTTTATGTACACGGATAAGCACGCGCACATAGTCACGTATTGTACATACATCTCATAAATATACCTCTAAATTTTAAGAGAAGTTATTTTTTCAATGCAATGCAAACGTATTTTACATCGTACGCACTAGCGCATGCCTGCGTGCACAAATGAATGATTGGAACGCAGATCTTATTACTGTAGTGACGCATTACCATAAATTTATA